CAAATAAGCCAGGAGGAGGGTCAAATAAGCCTAGGGATGATAAGGATAATAAATAACATTTTTTGAGCACCTACTGTGCGCCTGGTGGTATGTATAACATTTTTAAGCTTCCTACTTTCCTGTGACATGGGAACTGTTGTCATCCTCAGAGGAAACTGAGGCATGTGGGGCAGTAACTTCCTCACGGTGACAAGGACCTAGTAGACAGAGACCTGGATCTACACCTACCTGACCCACACAACAGGCTGTGCGAATCCAGGATGTTTATTTGATCAGTTTGTGGGGCGAGACCACCATCACAGCATTGATGTCAGTGGCGGTAGTGGTATGTGGAAGGAACCTTAGTCTTAGAAAAGAGCTATAAATCTGTGCCACCCTTGCTGGTTACTAGTTGGTCACGGGTCCTGTTAACTCAGTGTTTGCAGAGGGATGACAGTTCATAACCTTGTGGGTTACGTGGAAATGAAAGAATCTAACACAACAGGATAACTGGGTGGCTCAGTTAGTTAAAGGTCCAACTTCAGCTCAGGTCATGATCTCACGATTTGTGAGTTCGAGCCCTGCGTCAAGTTCTGTGCTGACAGCTCAGAGCCTGTTTGGGATTCTGTGTCTCCCTCTCTCTCTGCTCCTCCCCCATTTGTGCTCTGTCTTTCTTTGTCCCTCAAAAATAAAGAAACATAAAAAAATGAAAAAAAAAAAAAAAAAGAACCTAACATAATGCCTGGTGTATATCAGGGACTCGATAGGTATTTACTGAATATATTTGAATTTATCTGCCATCAATACAGTGCATTCATTCATCAAATTAAGATTTATTGGGCATTATACCAAATCCCAGTTAATGGACTGGATGCAGAATTGCAGTGTTGAGCTGTAAGAAACAGTCTCCATCTTCAGGGAGCCCAATGGGGGAGAAAACCATTTATTGATCACACAAACAAATGTGGAATTACCACTACAGGGAGATATGCATGGCACACAGGTCACTCCTCAAACACCCTGTGTCTGAAATGGAAATGGTCATTTTTCCCTGTGCCTGTCCCTTCCAGAATCCTCCCTCAGAAGGTGATACCACCTGCTACTCATCTTCCAGAGGAAATCACTGGGGGTCACCATGGATCTTCCTACAACTTTGCCTGGCTTTCCTAGAGTGGCAGTGTAACAGATGGTCACAGCCTCCAGTGATGATCGCCTGTGGCCACAGTATGAGGAGTTGGTATGGGACAAACCAAGAGTTTCTTCTCTATGGGCCAGAGACTCCCACCAGTGGGGACCACTTACTCAGAGCTACCTTACAGTGGGCTGCACACATGCATCCATTGTAGGTATATACCACTTCAAGAGAGGCTTTGTGTGAGGTACTTGGAAACTTACTCTCTGGGAGATATGAGGAAGATAAGTTTTGGAAGCATCCCAATTTTTGCCAGGGCAGATCTGCTGACTGGGGACAAAGAGAAATTATGAAAAGAGTTATTTTTTTACCTTGTAGAACTGGACGGGGTACGGTTTTATTTTGTAGGATTTATGTGGATTTGCTTCAATATTTGGCCATTAGAAATATTCTTCTGATGCAAGTCTTAGAGTGTAGCTCTATACCTGTGACCACAGTCTCCACTCGTGTTCAAACTAATGACCAGGGAGCATCTGTGCTAATCATTTAGCCCGGGTCATCTCACCCTGTCCAACCCTACCTGTCCAGATTGATCCTGATTCAGAATAACCCTTGGCATTAAGATGGGCTGTGGCAGTACCGCCACTGGGCAGTAGAGGGCGACAGAACCACACCCAGTGGGTGCATCCATGCCAGGGAATCCTATGGCTGCAGGACTTTTCAGCCTTGTCAGACACACAGGAAAGTGATATTATTCCCATTCCCTGGGCGAGGAAGCTGAGTCTCAGTATTTTCTCCAAGATTAGACAGTTGGGAACACTGGAGACCTCTAAATTTCTAGACAGGAGAGGATAATTGTACGGGTCCTCAGGTTGAGAACTTGACGTTTATTTTTTTTTTTTTTAATTTTTTAAATATTTATTTAATTTTGAGAGAGAGAGAGAGACAGAGGTGAGCAGGGGAGGGGCAGAGAGAGGGAGACACAGAACCTGAAGCAGGCTCCAGGCTCTGAGCTGTCAGCACAGAGCCCGACGTGGGGCTCGAACTCACAAATGGTGAGGTCGTGACCTGAGCCCAAGTCGGTTGCCCAACCGACTGAGCTACCCAGACGCCCTTTGACGTTTATTTTGCAGAGTTCTTTATGCAAAATGGAGAGAATGATTGTTTAGCACTGCTCCTGACAGTGTGGGAATATGAATCCATGCTCTCCAACTCTAAATCTAGGGCCCCCTACGTCTGCAGATAGTATGTGGATTATCCCATTCTCCAGACATTGATTGACAGGTGCAGGGATGGATTTCTGCTCACTCACCCCACGTACTCTGATTTCTGTCCTCCTCAGTCTTTGTTCTTAGTTCTAGAATAAATAAATAGGCCAACACAATTCTGCATGTTGCCAGAGAGGCCCTGAATCAAAACCTGAATCTAGCCCATTGGCCTTCCTGGGAGACAGTGTTATAGAAGCGATGAAGGGAAGGTGCCCAGATATTACACTGTATTTCCACATGCTGGGTGACTATCTGGAAGTCTTAATGAGGGTGATGACAGCAGCAGCAAGAGTGATCCCCGTGTGCCGAGCCGTTCCCCTGAACCGCACACTGTGCCAGCCACTTTCCCTAGATTATCTCATTTCATCCTCCCAAGAAACCTGTGTGGCAAGTAATATTATTCTTATTTTACCCGTGAGAAAAGGGAGGCCAGAAAGCTTACGTAACTAGCCCGAGTCCACTTGGCAGAGTCGACGCAGCAGTGCTTGGAAGTAGCCCTCCTCACACGCGCCTCCCGCTTTCTTATGCTGCGTTCCAAGGGTTTCTGACATCGTAGGTCAGGCGGCCGAACTCACAGCACATTCAGAAGTTGTCCCCATGTTACATACCCAGAATGCAGTCCGTAATGCTAATGACGGATGACAACAGTGAAGCTGCATGCCATTTGTACTAAAATTCCAGTGCTTGGAAGTCCTAATTATTGTGTCTTGTTTTCTCAGAATGCAAGATTTCCCAGAAAAGCCAGCCTAACCCCGAGGAACACATCATCATCGTTGTCTTTCCCTTGGGATTCTTTGCACCAGAGAGCATCCCCATTGGTTCAGAAAATGGGTAAGATTTATCAGAAACATTTACAACCCCAGAGGCATTATGGGGCATCTGGGTGGCTCAGTAGGTTAAGCGTCCAACTCTTGATTTCTGCACAGGTCATGATCTCATGGTGTGTGGGTTCGAGCCCATATTGGTCTCCATGCGGACTGTACAGAGCCTGCTTGGGATTCTCTCTCTCCCTCTCTGCCCTTCCCCAACGTGGGCATGCTCGCTCTCTCTCTCTCTCTCTCTGTCTCTCAAAATAAATAAATAAACTTTTAAAAAAAAAAACCTAGAGGAAATAAAGCTTCTTTCCCTTGTATTGTGTGGGGCAGATCACATGAATTTTATAGCTTGCCTCACACAGTGGGCTACAGTCTAAGTTCATTTGTTTGCAGTAAATGTTACTTATACACATGTTTGATGTACTAAGTAGAGTCTTTTTTTTTACTCACTCTGGTACCTAGTTTTCATCAAATAGAAGGCATTCACTAGGCCTCTGAAGACAAACCACCAAAACAAAGCCTCTCCAAATCTAACCCCTAAGCACCCGAGGCTTGGATGTAAGCCTCAACATAAGCCTTCTTGCAAGGATCTGCCTGGTGGGTGGGAAGGAAGAGACGATGCCTTCTGGTCCATAAACGCCGGCTTCCAACGCCATGACCTTGGCATCTGAGAGTAGCATGAGCACCACTGAGAAGGTCATCTGTGCTTACAGGCTGCAACCTTTGGTGCATATCGCATGAATGATGAACACTCTCTGGTAAATAAACCATCACATCAAAGCCTGTATTTTGCCTTCCATTTTGAAGCTACTTCTGCAGAGCCTCGCCTTCTACCTGGGCTGTGATGATGCACCTCCTGGTTTCCTCTTTGCTTTTCTTGTCTCGATTCACAGTGTGTTTTAGCTGGTAGATCCCTGACCCTCTAAGCAGTAACTAGGGCTGGCTTCTGGCTCCTCTACAACAGCTAATGTTTCAGAGGTGCTCAGGGAATCCCTGTTAACATTGCAGCAGGACGCAGCCACCTCAGAGCAAACATCCACGCCACGGCAAGAAGTACTAAAGCAGAAGGGAAAGATTTTTATTCTTACATAGTCAGGAAGAGTCTTTTCTCTAAAACCATCCCCCCATCCGTCAGTACCATCTGAGAGCTAAGCTGGCGGGAAACCCCGGAAGAGCTATTCGGCATTCTGCTCCAGCCCCTCCCACCTTCCAGTTTCTGTAAGGTCTGGAGAATGACTTTACCTCTCCCGGTTACCACAACCCCATCCACAGGACACGCAGAACGAAAGCTGCATAATTTATGATGTGTAAGACATCGTGATTGTGAACTAGGATCTCACAAATCAAGCTCAGTGGAAACATGAGCTGGAGAGCCCGTTCCCATGAAACGGAGCCCACGTCTGGGTGTAGGGTGGACCGCCCCCGCCCTGTGTGGCCCCTCCTGTCATAGAACAGGCGGGGCCCTAAGCAGCCTTGGGGGCCCCGCCTTTCTTCACTAAAGTACAGAAGCCCCGAAGAGCCGAACACTGGCAGCCACATCTGATCTCAAGCAATTGTGTTAGGTCAACAGGAAGTCCTTCTACAATCTTGAAATAGGACCCCTTTCGGCAGCCCGTAGCTGTCACAGCTCCTTGTTTTCCACACCTACACCCTGTGCACGTTTATGTCACCCTCCCCCTGAGTGTGTCCTGCCTGAACGGAACCTTGGAGGAAAGGGTACCTGCACCCAGACGCCCTCCCTTCATGCACCCTTGACTCAGGAAGGCACCAGAAAGGCATGGGGCTACAAGAGAGATGGGTGCTTACTGTGCTGGTCGCTCCTGTCCCTTGTCCCATCCACTGTGCCATCGGGAAGGATCCTCAGGAAGTGGCCCCCGTTGCTACAGTAGAGGAGTTTGGGCTTCTTGTAATTCCCCGGAGGCAGATTGAACTTCTCCGTCAGGGCCGTGAAGGTTGTGATTTCCCCTTCAGCCATGGCTCAGTGGCTGCTGCTCGGGTGTGTTCTCAAGGCTGCAAGAAATTAGACAACCCTGTAGAATGTCCCACCAGCAAAGGTGTCGCGTCCCTTTCCGAGATGGGAAGGAGAGCCTCGGGGCCCGGGGCTCCTGCTTGGGTAGCAAACCACAACGTGCCCAGGCGATGCCCACAGCAAACGGGCCAGTGCGGTGGGCAGCGGTTAAGGAAGAAAGGTCGCTGGCATGGGAGGGACCCTCAGGACATGTCTAACTTCCCAATTGGCCACGACTTCGGACCAAGCTATGCATTTTTTAGAACTTCAAATTTAATCATTTGGCAGAGGGAGGGAAAAAAAAATAATGTTTTGGTCCCTCCTTCTGATCCACACACATCCTCAAATTAAACACTGAAGTTGTACTAAAATAACACCTGGGCTCTGGCTGAAACCCACAAAAGCTGAGAGGCCGGCACTGAGGTTTTGCTCTCTTCCTCCCACTGTTCTAGCCACGGACTGCCCGCCCCGTGCACGCAGATAGCTCAGATAGCCCGACCGGGGCCTGGAGGAAAAGGCATGCAGGCCTTTCAGACCGGCTACGGTGGAGGCAGCCAAGGGTTAATGTGTAACGGGAAATTCTGGGTGTGCTGGCGGGAACAGACCCAGAACCGGGGAACAAACACTTGGGGGTGTTATGCGGGGATTTAAAGGGCAGACACTGTCCCAAAGGAAACTGTATGAGACAGATCATTAGGGAGGGTCTGCCGGTCATTGCCTGCTTCCCTAGCTTTCCTCGCATCCTCCTGTCACACAAAGCAGGTGAGCCTGGCCCTTGTACAAAAGCCAGCTTCATTCTAGTTATTTGCTAATGAAACGTACTTACTGTGACACAGAAACCACCATATTGCACATTATACTCCTCTACGATCGTGTACACCCACTCTGGAGAGATTTATAGTATCAGTGTTAAAACACCTCAGTGACAGGAATCTAAGCTTTAAAAGCCAAACTAATAGGGGTGCCCAGGTGGCTCAGTCTGTTGAGTGTCTGACTTTGGCTCAGGTCGTGATCTGACAGTTCGTGAGTTTGAGCCCCACGTTGGGCTCTGTGCTGATAGCTCGGAGCCTGGAGCCTGTTTCAGACTCTGTGTCTCCCTCTCTCTCTGCCCCTCCCCTGCTCATGCTCTGTCTGTCTCTCTCTCAAAAATAAATTAAAAAGAATTTTTAAGTCAAACTAGTAAACAGAATTTTAAAACATCTTCTTGCCCCACCATTTAGGAGAACAAAGCGCTGGTGACTCCAAGGACACACAAGGAAGTGGCGAAAAAGAGCCGAGGAACTAGTGCAAGAACTTGCTTACAAGTGTGAGTAGGTCCTGATGGCGTACACGGATTATCGAGTGGCCTCATAATAGTAGTGATCATCAACATTAGCATTAACTTGTCATCTGGGCTACAAGTTAACTCAGGTCACCTTCATCGTTACTATTGGAGACAGATGCTCATATTATCCCCATTTTTTCCTAAAATGACACCAAGGCTTACAGACATTCGATGGCTTGTGCATGGCCTCCCAAGGAGGGGTGTTGAAACAAAGCATCACTTCCCTTTGCACCAGGAAACGGTGAGGTGACGTCACTGATACTGCAATACCATTGACAGAAGTGGGATTCTCCCCCCAGCCCTCGTCTGGCACGTACACCTGCCCCCATGGGCTCATTATTGGTTATGTTATTCATTTGTGACCCAGAGGTTGGCTGTCACCACCAACACCTTCCACTTTTGTCCCTGTCAACCTTCAAGTGGGTCTCCAGTCATCTCATTTCTCAGGAGACCCCTCATCACTGGGTGTTAGGGAGCACTGTGAACTTCACCAAAGGCCTGCCAGCCTCCCACATCCCCATGGTAACCATCCCTTCATCCGTTCGTCCATCCATCCATCCATCCATCCATCCATCCATCCAACCATCCGTCCATCCATCCATCCATCCATCTGTCCAACCATCTGTCCATCCATCCATTCATCCTTCCATCTATCCACCCACCCATCCAACCTTCTGTCCATCCATCCACCTATCTGTCCCTCCGTCCATCCATCCGTCCATCCATCCATCCATCCATCCATCTATCCATCCATCCCCAGAGCAACCTCATAAAGTTGCTCACATGGAAAGCAATTTCATTATAAATTGAGGCAACAATTTGAATAATTTGTCCTGGTGACTTTGGAATTACAGTTCATGCTGGAAGCATCCAATTGTTTCTTTTGCTCCAGGCATTTTAATGTCTGTAGTATGTGTCTTCCAGTCTATAGTCACATGAGCCACTCACTGTCCCCACTTCTAGCCATGATTTGCAGTCCCTCTGAGTACCCCTAAAGGGAATTTTGCATACACTGTATAAACTATATTTAAAGTGAGGACATCTCAAATATCCCCTTCACATGTGGAGAAACTCTGTCTAGATCTTTTCAGATAATACAGTGACAGATTGAAAGTGTTATTTGCATCTGCAGACTTTATCTTGTGTGACACATTATGTTTCCTTCCCAAGCCCACACTCTATCTTCCATCCCCTTGTTATTCATCCATAAGCCTCTATGTCTCTGGGCCTACCTTTTTCTCTCACATCTCTCTGTCTGTCTTTCTGCTCAGCCCTTCTTCACTCAGCTTCTCAATCTCCCTCTCATCCCACTCACTTCTGGATCCCCTTCTGATATAAAGCACTGCAACAGTTTCCAACTTTGACATCTTCACCCATCACCTCTCCATTGACATGCAACAGTGATCAGTTCCCCGTTCCTTCAAGTACAGCCGAGAGATAAAAAATATTTTTTGTTCCTTTGTTTTCCCAAGCACTCGCTAAGTTATATACTTAATTTGGTACAGGAGAAAATAATTATATACTGGTGGATATATATTTAGCATTTAACTGTACAAATAGCCATTCGTGTTGTCAGTCTTTGGTGGGCAGGCTTTTGTTTCTTGTTGTCTCTGGTTTCCTCAAGTGGAGGTCCACGTGCGCCCCTGACTGTGCATCAGGTGCATGTGAGGGATGGCCTCCCTTCTAGATCCAGCACCGTGGAGGAGTCTCCATTAAGTTGTTGTCTATGTGTTGGGTGTATATTTGGCTGTATCTGTTTGCATTCATGTTTCCATCCCTTTGGGATGAAGGGGAACAGATAGAACAGAAGGTTCCTCAGGGTGGAGGCAGCAGTCCTGGCCAAGGATTGTACCTGTGCTCACATGCTCATGTGTGTATAAGCCACACAGCCTGGACTTCACCACTGAGGAGCTCTCCCCAGATTAGCAACCTTGGGCAGAGACCAGCAGGCCCTCGGGTGTCCCCTCCTCTCCATCACAGTGCCATCTGTGGTTATAGAGTCACAATTCTGCTCTTTGCCTGCCCCGCATGCCCCCAGTAAGAGGGAAGTAATGGGGGTTGCTGTATGAACTTGAGATTACTCCAATGACCGTGCGGTTCACATCCGTATCTGGAAACCTCAGGGTTGGGGGTGAGGGAACACGTTAACTCCTGAAAATAAGCCTCTAGTCAACCTGAAGCTGACAGTCTGGGGCAGTGGGATCTGTGGATCAGCTGAAACATACAAAAAATGAAATCCATTTTTGTTGCTGGAAGAAACCCCAGAGGCACAAAAAGCCCTTATTTTTTAGGCTCTATTTACAATTTACCTACCTTTATAGCAGTATTTAGTCCTGATTTCCTTGCCTATTCAGGATTTGTTAGAACATAGGGATAAAGGAAGTCTATGACATGATAAAACCATTAAGCAGTAGCCTTTGTGGGCCCTTGGAGATTTTCACAAATTGCTCTAATAAATGAGTCCACTAAGAACATGAAATCAGGCATTAAGCATAATGGAAATTTATAAATTCTGCTTCTTGTTACTATTCTTTTCTCGCTGGCTATCATAGGTGGGGACTATCTGTGTGTATTTGTTGGGACATGGGAAAAATCAAGCGCAGTGGACTCCTTGTCATCACTGGGTGCTAAACCCAGCCCTTTGAGATTCAGGGCACTGGTGAGTTTTAGGGGAAAAGCCAGAAGATTCTCTTGACTTATCAGCAACACCAAAGTAAGGACAACACAAAGCTTATTAGAACATCTGTGGTAAGGCTGGCATGTTTTGTCAGCTGCAGCCACTTGAAGAGAACCTGAACTCTGACACACAAACAGAATGATAAATATATACTCTTGGTGGCAACACAAGAGTCATGTCTCAATCTGGGATGGTGAGCAGCACCGTACAGCCCCAGCTATGCACAAATCGATTCCAGGGACCTAGGCAACTCATTCACTCCTTCTGAGATGTTCCCTCTAATAATCCCCATCCTTTGTACCTCACAGAGTTGTCTGAAGGGTTAATAATCCTTCACAGTATTCGTAACAGCACTTGGAAAGTAGAAACATGTGATATGACCTACAGGAGATGCGAGTAACTAGTTACATTAAACTAGTGAAGCCTGGTGTGGTCTAGGTCAGTGGCTGCTGAATGCTTAATGTAATTTTCCAATTGGTATGAAAATAGAATTTTTCATTCCGTCTCATATGTGGGAGAAATTAGTTAAGCTCTTTCCCCCATCATGTAAGCTGCAAACACAGCAGAGAGGATGAAGGAAGTAAAGGTAAGCTATGGTTATGTAGCAGAGAATCCTGGTCACCACTTCAACTCTGTTCTCAGCGCATCGAGAGTTGTTGAAGTGACCTTTATCAAGTCCACTATTTAGGAGACATGTGTGTTCAGTTTGGCCCTGGAAACTAAACTAACAGGAAAAATTTAGGGTTCTAAGGAAAGGTCCACACTGATGTGTAGGTTTTTTTAAAAATTTGTAACCCCTGTCACTGCTCAAGTAATGCAGAATGCCCATGACGGAGAATATTTTACAAATATTCTACCAAATCTACAATGCTTCCAAAGGTAGATATATAGGCATCTGTCAAGGCAATGATTGGAAAAGTGTCCTCCGACCAAGCATATGTAAAATAGGTCTCACCTTTGCTTCCAAATAGGCTCTAAGTTCTTGCTCCCTGTCTCCATCA